TATATTACATACCCTGATGAAATGTAGTCAGATTTTTTTGAGATATAAAAATAAAGCTTTCCCTCCAAATTTTTCTTAAAATTGATGCTCCAGAAAAAGACTCTGCATAACTCCAGTATACACTAGCATACCTCTAGGATGTACCTATATTCTAGAAATATGGTTATTAAGATGAAACTCAGAGCTAAATATACCCAGCGCATATGGCTCCATAAGAAGGTAGAGGCTATTAAAATACTTTAAAAGATATTTATCTTTGTTTCAACTGGCAAACAGGGGCTCTTCAAATCCCTTAGTGGCATCGCTTCCCATATCATCCCCCTCCCCACACCACTAAACTTTTCATGGTTCAGGAAATAAAGGCTTATAACTCAGGGACTCTGGGGCCCACTCTGTTCCCACTGCTGGTGGCCTATACTAGTCATGCTGTTTTGAATTCCATCCCAGGTTACATATCACCTATATGAAGTTCGTGGTGTGATCTAAGCACTAAATAAGCAGTAAGTACCTTTAGTCCTGTGGCTTTGATTATCCATCAAAATGTGGAATTAGATACTGCTACAGTGATTATAATGGAATTGTCATACTTTATTACTGAAATATTTTGGGGAGTAATTTTTTTTCAAAGTCCATCTACCTCTTTCTTCTGAGACAGAAGGGGGTAGAACAAGAGATACAGGAAGAAAAAGAGAGAAACCCTCAATAGGGGGTCACTCTCATGCTGAGTGACCATGCCTGCTCCAGCCCCAGCCAGCATGAATTGCAGGCATGGTCACTCAGCATGCCCAAGAAGTCCCCAAGATGTGACCCTGGAACATCCTACCTGGGTCCAATTGTGTTACCTCTGTATCACTGTATAGCTGGGGAGTAATTTTGACTCTTCTTCAAGTACCTAAAAAACACTCATGGCCTTTGATCTAGAATCCTACCTTTGAAATTCTAATCCAAATTAATTGAAATATGGAAAAATGAAAAGCTATATACTGAAAGACATTCTCTGTAGGATAGCCCATAATAAAGAGAACTTTCAAATTTCTTAAATGTTTGGTGATAGAGAAATAGTTATTTAAATTTTAAACTCAAAATTATAGAGAAGGAATGGATTCAAAGTATGTTAATAAAGTTATGTAAGGGGACTTTTAAAAGTTTGTGGAAAAACAAAATTAAAGTATAAGTTTATTTTGATACAAAAAGTTTTTGAAGGGTCAGCAGGCAGCATAGTGGTTAGGGCACTGGACTCCCACATGGCCAACTGTGGTTGGAGTCCTGGGCCTGGTGACTTGAAAATTGTGCTGGGCACATGTGCGTCCATGCCCAAAGTCCCTGGGGGGATGATTTCTCATTTTCCGTCTCACTGTCTCTCTGTGGCAAGCACACACACTCAATGGCAAAAATAAATAAATAAAAGTTTTTGAAATGTATGCATAGTTTTTTCATTAACATATTTTCATGAACTTTTAAGACTCTTCGTATTATTCATGCCTTTAAAAGCTTTTCTTTTCCTTCCTCCCTTTCTTTCATTTTTTCCTCTTCCTCTTCCTCTCTACTGCTCAAATAGGTGCATCTTTAAAACGAAACTTTCTTGTACTAAATTTACACTCTAAACTCACTAAGTATAAATTCAAGTTGTGCTTTAACATGGCCTTTTGATATAACACCTGGGATTTGTTCTTAAAGGAAACAGGTTAAAATTCCAAGTGTTTGTCAAATCTTAGGAGTACCTTCATGGTATGTCATTATGGTCACATTGAACTTAACTGGCATTGTAAAGCACGTGACAGCCTGTGAAGCATCAAGGCCAATGATACACACAACTGATTCCTGGCTTCCCAGAACTAGGTGCCTACATCAGTGCGTCAGCTAGGACTCATTCTGTTGGAAGTGAAAACCTGATAGAAATTAGCTTGAATAAAAAAGAAATGTATTTTTTTTAATGAAAAGGAACATACTAACTGATGTTCTAAAAAGTGCATTGCATCGGGCATGGATAAATTTGGGACTAAACTTCTATTATCAGGGCTCAGTATGGGTCTATCTCTTGACTCTGCCTTCCTCTATGTGGACTTCAATCTCAGCTGCTTGTGGTAGGAAGATGGTGACAACAGCATCACCCACCCATACAATTGTCTCAGGTTTCAGGGTCAGTGGATAAAAATAGGAGTTATATTCTCAGAAGTCTAAAGAAAAATTTCCTTACCTTTCATTAGCCCACACTTGGTAATATGACCTCTTTGTAGCAATCAGAGGGAAAGGCAGCAGATGATAGGTCCAGGCCTAGGTCATGTAACCACTCTATACTAATCAGAGGGAAATACAACAGACCAATGGACACAGGCCTGGATCACATGTGTGCCCCTGGAGTGAACTGGAGTGCACAGAGTCAGTGTCATGGACCACATGAAACCACAAGTAACTATAGTTCCTTTAGAATAAGAAGGGATGATTTTAAAGAGGAAATCAGAATGCACTTTTTAGATA